TGTGTGTAATGAATGAATATAATAGACAAGTTTCACTTTTTGAATGGGATTAGTGAAATAAATCAACTTTTTGGTGATATTCTAATTATATGACCAGCACCTGTAGACCTACACTTAAAACTGATATATGTTTAGGTGTCTAAAACACGTCCACAGCAGTACATCGCTTTGCTCTTGTGCTGGTACTCCTGCCTGCTCTTCTAATCTCCATCTACAGCAGGTAATACTCTGACTACGGAGAAGTAGCTCATACAACCACACTTCAAAACATCCAAATGATCCCTTTAAGGACTTGTTGCTCTGACAACAGTCCCGGATACTTTTTAAATAGTGTTAAAAAAAACAAATATCCACACTCATGTCCAATCATCAGTATTCTGAGGATAACTTCATTGGTCATCCACATACTAAGAACAGCACCCTGATGTCAGATTATATCTAGAAGCATGTTGTCTTCCTCCTTTCACCTCTCTTTGTGTTGTCATGTAACAACTGTTTGCTCACATCTTTAAACAGGCAATCTGCCAGCCACGGAATTATCTTCACACATTAACATATCTCTGGGTAGCAGCAGTAGTGATGACCTACATAGTTATCGTGTTTGTCAGTTCCAGACTTCATTGCACCTTAAACAGCCTGATAGAAACAGCTCACTTCCACTGATAGAAGTGTTTCCAATGTTCCTCTGTTCAACAGAAGTAAAGGGGATCGGGTTTCTTTTACATTCTGCGCAGTACTTAATGAACACACAGCTTGGATTACCTTCTCCTTGAGGGTGTTCACATAAAGGTCACTGTTGGCAAAGTAGATTGAGGAGTTGAAGTGGAAAATCTTAATCCCGTCATACTCAGCCGCCTGGGAACCAAACACAGATCACAGGCGTTAGAGTTCTGACCAACAGACTTGATGTGAAATGTTTAACCTGGGTTCAGACTTTGGTGTTTTCTCTTGTGACAGACTCACCTCTTCATACTCATCCACATCACAGTACAGCCCCGTTCCGGGAACATGGCCCAGAATGGCACTTTTTGGGCTGGAAGACACGGAGAAAGGTGAAAAACACAACCTTTGCATTAAAGTCTTCTGTTGTAACCCTTGGAGCACCACCCAAAGCAGTTTACACACATGTATTGACACGCTGTGATGTGTGGCATTGAGTGTATTCAGTGAATGTAGGTAATAATGAAGTTATGGTAACAGAAATAAACACACGTTCGGACTAAAGACAAGCAGCGGTAGAATCAGTACCTCTGTGTTCTGTAGATGACTGTAAGTATGGTGAATGCGATGGCCACCAGCAGGCCGTAGTCCAGTCCCAACAGCACAGACGCCACGAAGGCCACCAGCCAGATGGCCTGAGAGAGAAAAAGAAAGACACAGAATTAAACCTTCTTTCCTCACCTAAACAAGGGAACAAGAGAGAGAAAAAACTCAACGTGAGAAGGAAAGATTACAAATCTACAATCACATCGTGGATGACTCTACGTGGCTCTCTTTCCCAGGTTGACCATGACAGTAAAAGAAAGCAGGTTATCCTGTTTTACAAGATATTTTCAGATGCCACGCGCCGCTGGAGAGCAAGACCATATTTTTTGGACTCATACCTCAAGAATGGCAGAAAAGAGACAAATATGTTTTCGGTGAAGAACTCTACTGCACAGTAACATTTTCATTGTGTTGAGCTCGATTTGACAGACCAGTTCGATCTTGCTGGTCCTCCACAGCGCAGGAATGTCTCTGAACTGTTTGAACATGCCCAGCAGGTTCACCATGATGATGGCAGCCAGTGCAGTCTGGGAAACCGAACCGATAGGAGAACAAAACAATACAAGAAGACATTAGAAAAGACTTCACGAGGTGAAACGTGACCCATTAACTAGTGTTTGTGACTTGAATTCTGTATCAGTGGAGCCATCAGCCACTATTTGTTTAACAGACTGGGAAGAAGAGAAAGAAGTGTCTGCAGCTCCACTTGTGACGCTGAGCTGCCAGACAGGAAGCTGGAAGCTGTGTGTCATCAGCGGCAGCGTTACCCACCTGAGGGAGCGGCTGGAAGACGAAACCAATGGCCAACACCACCAGCAGCACCATGAGAGAGGCCAGCAGCCCCGCGATCTGAATACACAAAGACTGTGTCAACATTGTCTCACTCTAATTGTTGTTTTACAACACCAATTCAGTCAGGCGAGATAGCGTAACCACTGCTGTCTAAGTGCTACCTGTGTTTTTCCACCAGTGCTCTCCTGCACCAGGCTCCTCGACATGGAGCAAGTGATGGCGAAGGTTTGAAAGAAAGAGCTGATGAAGTTACACAGGCCAAGGGCGATCAGCTCCTGAAAGCAGAACACAAAGGTTTTATCCCAGAACATTCAAATAAATGCAACGGAAAAAAAAATGTGAAAGTGTTCTGCAGCTCCTTAGGCACCGATGAGAGGAGACACACAAAATCAGTTGACGTATGTGAAGATGACGGATCCTATTCATCTTCTATGGAGAGCAAGAGAGACGACCGTGCGTTGCATGGTGGATACAATTTGCATAATCAAACTCAACTTTAGGCAAATGAAGTGCGTCCATCGCAAGGCAGCAGACTCGAGAAACTCGGATCAAATGTTGTCAGAAACATACTTCAGTGTAATGTTTAGCTGTAACGTCAGAAAGTTTGTCCCCCGGCCGCCATGTTGAAAACAATTGAGCCAAAACCAAGCCTCGTCCACCTGCCGGAGCAAACCGCACCGTTTTGGGTTCCACCACGTCTTTCCGTTTGTTGGCCGGATTTGGTGCATGTCCACCATACGTGCGTGTAAGCGCACAGATTGTCAGGGAAGTGTCCGTGGCCCAAGATGTCCAGACTCACCTGGTTGCCATCCACGCTGTAGCCGTGCTTCAGGGCGAAGGTCTTGGCAAGTGAGATGCCCATTGAGAATCCAACAATTGCTACAGCAAAGGAGTCTGTGACCAAACTGGGGAGCAGAGAGAACTCCGGGGCGGCAGGAGGGAGAAGCCTGAGAATACACAAGATAACACTTCTTATCCCGGTGTGTAAATGTTTTTTTGGGCTGCAACGTTACGATGGCTCCTTTTACGGCTTGAAAAAGAGCCTAAAACTACAAAATCAATGCATTTAACATATGACACGTATCTACGAAAGTTCTTTGGTTAGATCCAGATCTCCCAGTTGTAAACTCCCACGACTGAAATACACTCTAAATTCCAGAAATGAGAATGCATCAACCTACCCGGTTGGTATCTTCCCAACCACATCCACTTTGTAGTCGCCCGATAAGGACAGTCCATACGAGACGCCGGTTGACACGATGACCACAATGATCTCTCCAGGGATGGGGATGGGCAGCTTCTTCTTGAAGCGCTCGTTGAGGTCTTTGACCGTGTACAGGAAGACGATGCACGCCAGGCCCAGGATGACGGTGGAGATGTTGGTGCTGGTGATGTCACCGAGTACCGCCTTGACGCTCTGGGGCAAGAGTGTAACCATTTATGATGCATACAATCATCGCAAACGCACAACAAAACCACACCTAGAAAAAAAGGCAGTAAAAAAACGAAATCTCCCAAATCCCCAATTGAGGAGGCACCTCTTGCGCTCTTTCCACTTACAAACCGTTAAAAAAGCTATTGAAACGTACATAAATGACAGAGAGGGGCCCACTGAAGCGCTGTGTTTTCACCCCCAGCAGGTACTTCAGCTGAGAGACCACGACATGCACTGCAGCAGCTGTAGTGAAGCCTCGCACCAGAGGCTCTGTAAGGTAGATCGCCACAAAGCCAAACCTGAGAAGACCTAAAGCAAACTAAAAGAAAGAAAGAGGTAAGGGGATAAGAACAAGCCACATCATTTTGTTTCAAATAAAAACATGAAATCAAGGTGTTGATATGCCAACAGTGATTCACACAGGCTGCCGCTTTGGGTAAACAGGGATTTCTGAGTGTGAGAAGATTTCAGCAAGCTGTATCACTTTACTGGGATGAAGAGATGCCATGTGGGGGGGGGGGGTTGAAGGCCAAATCAACAGCAGCTTTCAGTTGCCGGCTGAGTGCGGCGGATTGTTTTTCGAGGCTCACCTGGATGATTCCCACCAGCGTCGTGAGCACGACGGCCACCTGCACCCTCCTGGCATCACGAGCCTCCACGTCCAGGACGGTGGATGCGTTGGATCCGTTGGTGGGCAGGACGTAAAACATGGAGTCTGGGGCCTCCCTCACTGCAACGGCCCCAATCATGAGACTTATCACTGCAAAGGTGCCTGCAGATCACACAAACAGAGCAGTCATCTGTCACAACGCATTGTGGCTGAATTGTGGAAGTACTTGAAGCAGGCTTGGTTCTGAACAGTATCATGTCCACTGTAACTGTGGATTCGGGCAGTATCCCTTTGAGTGAAAAGGCCATCTTGCCCAGCACATGAACAGCAGCCCAGTTATTCAGTCTCGCTCTCTGCCAGAAGTTAAGGGTCATCATTTTCACAGCCAACTGCTTTCTGTTGTTCACTTCAAATCATGTCTTTTGTTTAAAGGTTGAGGTTCGGTTTATCGTCAGATTGACTTAAAGGTTAGAGCTGACATTTGAGATTGCTTGGAGCCCTTTCTTGGAAACAAAGAAGTCAAGCGGGTGAATTTCTAAATCCTGCTGCTCAGATCGAACACCTCCTAAAGCCTCCTAAACTTTCCGCAACGACGGACACACGGATGTGAGCCGACGTGGAATCGCGACGAGGAAATGTTTGGATCTTTTATACTCTTCAAAGTTCGCCATTTTCTCCGCCCATCCAAGTCTGTGTACTTGGAAGACGCTGGATGTGCATTGACAGGCAAAAACTAGTAAATTAGCTCGTGATTCTATGGTTAGTTAATTGAGCTGACCCCCTATGTGTGGGGGAAAGAGACGGTTGGCAGCTTGAGCTCAACACACTGTTGTTGTCACCGACTGCGACCTGGCAGTGTGAAAAGGCCACAGACTACACTAAAGACCACCGTTCATTTAGACCAGGATAAATATGAACAAAGTTAACAGCGTGCGAGGTGGGATTAGAACACCTCAAGACATTTTCCCACCACCAGCACTTGATATACAGTGCAGGAGGGAACAAACACAGTAATAAGAGCTTTTACTCAAACAAGCACAGTCACATCTGTGTTTCAGCAACAGATTTACTTCCAAACTGTGACGGCTGTATAAAACGTGTACCCGTTACCTCCTATATTCTCACCTTATAATAAAAGCAGAGCTAGAGCGAGGGGATTCACGCTTATAGGATATACATAAATGCAGATACAGCTTTGCATTCACTGTAACTGGGTCATGACTTGGCCAGTCGCCCAGGTACACGGTCTCTTATCAGTGTTGGCCCTCACTGCAGGAAACAGGGGGAAGAGCAGCACCTAACCAAACCGGTTCAATTAGGTTGTGTAAGCAGAGAATACAGGCAACGGTAATGGTACACGGCGCGGCCTCTGAAGAGAAAACATTTGAACTTTCTGTCGTCCTCCACGACGGAACTCACAGCCGGATGTTAGTATCTCCCTCACAACAGAGAAGGTTGTAAAAGTTTGCAATGGAACATTAAGAAAAAGCATTTTATAGCTACATGCAATACTACAATAACTGCATAAAATAGTAGACACTAAATCGTTATATTTAATATATTCTATTCCATCACCATAGCAACATATCTTGGAGCGTGTTTGGTTTTCTCGTCCTGCCGTTCAGTAAGATAATCCAGTCCAGTGTGACTGTGGGGTCATGCACTTTAAGTGTGTGTGTGTGTGTGTGTGTGTGTGTGAGTGTGAGTGTAAAGGCCATCTTGCCCAGCACTTGAACAGCAGCCCAGTTATTCCCTCTCACTCTCTGCCAGAAGTTAAGGGGTCATCATTTCCACAGCAACTTGCTCTCAGGCTCATTTTTGGGCAGAGGCAGCGTTTTACAGTGCACCCACCTGCTTCCTGCTGTTCACTTCACATCAGACCTTATGTTTCAAAACGGTGGAGCAGGTTTAGCTTATTGTGTCCATTAGTCAGATGGACTTTGACATTCGAGATGACTTTCTTTTCCAAGTGGGATGGGATGTCAGGAGACGGGTGGGATGTCAGGAGACGGGTGGGATGTCAGGAGTGGCGTCACTGAAATGTCACAATCCTGCTGCTCGTGTCAGCTGAGGACACGGTTATCACAACTTAGTGAAAACATTTCCTCCACATGCCATCTCATAATTCTGATCGGAGTGTTACTTGTGAATCTTCAGATAGTTGATTGAGCCGATACCCAGAGCAGTGCTGTAGCCCGTTGGTGTGTGGGACAGAGCAACAGGCAGCTTCAGCTGATCATAGTGTTGAAAGCAACCTGGCCTGGTGAAAAGCCCACTGACTGACTACAACTTAACAGCATCCACCATTCATTTAGAACAAACACAGGATTAGCATTGTTATGTTGATCACTTTCTAAAGTAGTGGCAGATTTATTATTTAAAATACAAAAAACATGAGGTAAGAGAATTACAGGAACCTCTTTCCTAAAGAGTTCAGGTTGTTCTACATTATATACCAAATGTGTGTCAAAAGGTTTTGTTGATGCACTTTACAACTGATCGTTCCCTGAGCCCGCCCCCTTAGTTACTGTCTTATCCCTCAAGCTTTCTGTTCTCACGCGGCACAAACACTTTACAGTAATAACAGTGAAACATTGAGCAAACTACAGTTTTTAGTAATCGTCCTCATGACATTTTTTTAGAAACAAGAGGTCGACTTCTCATCTCTAGCCGGGACAGTATTTCTCTGGCTGAAATGACAGCTGCTGCTGGCAGATGTCATTAGCTGTGGCTGGTCTGCTTATTTAGCTGCTAACATCAGCCTAACGTAACCTGTCACCCAACAAAATAATGAAGTTGGTTAACAACGTGGTCCTTGGCCTTGGAAAAAGTGCCCGTATAGTACTATAGGTGGTCAGCTAGTTAGCTGGGCATGCTAACCAATGCTGCTCATGTTAGAGCAGATAAACACACTGTTTCATTCATTCCTTCCACTTGCCTTTGGAAAGGGTTAGAAAAACTGACTCTCCTTGGAACTTTGGTGCAATCACCAATGTTTCACTGTTATTACTGTAAAGTGTTTGTGCCGCATGAGAACAGAAAGCTTGAGGGATAACGACAGTAACTAAGGGGGCGGGCTCAGGGAACGATCAGTTGTAAAGTGCATTAACAAAACCTTTTGACACACATTTGGTATATAATGTAGAACAACACACACAGACACAAAAGATAGAAAGGGATCTGTCACGTGTCTCTTTTGTTTTTTTGCTGCCTCCTTGAAGCTCCATATTAGCACCAACCACAGCAGGTGGCACCAGACACCAGCTACGAGGAGATTCATGACCCAAAAGTAAGAAGCTTTCAGTTGATTTCTCACCTACGGATATGTGCCTGGACGTGCCAAAGAAGGTGTAGAGCAGGACGGGGTAGAATGACGAGTACAGACCATAAACTGGAGGCACAGCAGCCAGCATAGCGTAGGCTAGACCTGTGGAGCAGAGCAGAGGGAGAGATAAATAAAGGGAACCGTCCCAGAAGCCAAGTGCTTGCACCACAACCTCAGAGCTACGGAGATACCAAAACAGACAGTGGGGAGCTGAAGGCAGCCGGCCCCTCACACATTAACCCTCATGTCATTGCACACGTAGCTTGTGGCTACTGTACAAAACCTTGGAATACATAACATTTCTGGCTTCATTAATCATTGAAAGTCTTTTTAGGGCTTTCTCTTCCAAATGGTTTCCCCTCATCTGATGTTTTAAATGATTTGCATGTCTGGAAAGGACTGCCGGTCACTGACCTTGAGGGAGCTGCACGACTCCCGTGCTGAGACCCGAGACCACATCTGAAAACAGGTACTGCTTGACCGGATAGGATGGCAGCCATGTTAGAATAGGCAGAAAGCTCAAGGCTGCCGCCTTGGCCTTCTGTGATGAACACCTATAAAAATGGAGACAAGCGGATTCAGTCTGTAATTAACAGATAAGAATAAAACAGACTTCTCAAGGCACATTCCAGAAAAGGCATATTTTTAACTACAGAAAGTCTTCCTGGAATCCATGATGTTTTTTTTTACTTTAGTTTCTGGCCTCCATAAAAGGGCATACTGGGTCAGATAACGTGTGATACACAATCATCTTCTTCATTACTGACGGGAATCGTTGCTCCACTCACCTGACATTTAATCACCTTTACAGCGATATGTTAGCACATCTTTTTCAGGGATGCATCAATCCGACTTTTTCGGTCCTGATAGCGATACCTGTGCTTTGAGTGTTGGCTGATATCGAGTACCGCTCTGATACCAGTGGGTCATTAATAAACTCTTTACATGCACTGTCAAATTGGTCAAAAATGAAGGAGGAATTCAAATTCAAGTATATAATGGATGTAGTACATAAACATAGAATTGTATTGATTAGTTCGCCCCCATTGTCACAGATATTGAAACCGGCAATATACTTGCTGAGTCATAGTTAGTCACTGTGGTAGAGAGCAATAGTATAGCAGCATAGCTTTCATAGAGATACGTCTGTATTATAATTAACGACTTGCTCTTTATTCCTCACTGCAGCTATTGGAAAACATGTTGTGCATCTGTGTTCACATGTCCATGGAAATGTTTCTGTAATATCTCTGATCACACACCACATGTTACGAGGGCTGAGCTGTTGTAGCTTAGATGGAGACGTCACATAACAGTACGGGTTGTGTGTTTGTACACCGGGAGGACAGAAATGTAAATGATTTAAAAAGCATTCTGAATGCATTTCTCAAAAGAAAACCATATTAACAGTGTTTCACACATAACACAACCACAAGCCAGAGGACAGGTAATCACAGGCAGAGAGGGGGGGGGGGACTGTTAAATAACATCAAATGTGTGAATATCCATCTGAGAACCACACTGGACTGACTTTTTTATGTATTTATGTTAAAGAAATGTCTTAAAAAATAAAATGAATTTATCAATGGGCTGACTCTTCATCAACAAGTAATCGACTACTTTGACATTTAGATCAATCATCAAGTCAACTCTTCCTGCTTTGTATCATTGTTCATCAAATATCAAATCATATTTTGTGACATTTTAAACCATAAGTCAATTAAACAAAAAAAATGACTTGGGAGATTCAATGAAAAATAATCATTAGTTACAGCCCCCCCCCCCCCCCCCTGTGGACCCACCACCCGCAGGGATAAGCATCGGGGTCGGGTGCAATGCAGACCGGGCGGCGGGTCAGGCAGAGGCCTGGGCGAGCCGATTGCCGGCAGCATAGACTAACTCTAGGGACGTGGAACGTCACCTTGCTAGCGGGGAAAGAGCCAGAGCTGGTGCAGGAGGTGGAGCGGTACCAGCTAGATATAGTTGGACTCACCTCCACACACAGTGCTGGCTCTGGAACCAAGCTCCTGGAGAGGGGTTGGACTTTGTCCTTTTCCGGAGTTGCCCAGGGTGAGAGGCGCCGGGCGGGAGTGGGGATACTCACGAGCCCCCGGCTGAGCGCCGCTGTGTTGGAGTTCTCCCCGGAGAACGAGAGGGTCGCCTCCATGTGCCTACGGGTTGCGGGGAGCAAGGCTCTGACTGTGGTTTGTGCTTATGCACCAAACAGCAGTTCAGAGTATCCGCCTTCTTGGAGTCGGTGGGAGGGGTCCTGGAAAGGGCGCCGCCTACCGACTCCATAGTTCTCCTGGGGGACTTCAACGCTCACGTGGGCAATGACGGAGAAACCTGGCGGGGGGTGATTGGGAGGAACGGCTTACCCGATCTGAACCCGAATGGTGTTTTGTTATTGGACTTCTGTGCATGCCATGGTTTGGCCATAACGAACACCATGTTCGAACATAAGGTGGCTCATAAGTGTACCTGGTACCAGAACACCTTAGGCCGGAGATCAATGATCGACTTTGTAATCGTATCATTTGATTTGCGGCCGTATGTCTTGGACACTCGGGTGAAGAGAGGAGCAGAGCTGTCAACTGATCACCACCTGGTGGTGAGTTGGATCAGATGGCAGGGGAACCGGTTGGAAAGGCCCGGCAAACCCAAACGTGTAGTGAGGGTGAACTGAGAACGTCTGGCGGAGGACCCTGTCCGGGAGGTCTTTAACTCCCACCTCCGGAAGAACTTCTCACACATCCCGAGGGAGGTTGGGGACATGGAATCCGAATGGACCATGTTCAAAGCCTCTATTGTCGACGCGGCCGCTAGGAGCTGTGGCCAGAAGGTCATCGGTGCCTGTCATGGCGGCAACCCGAGAACCCGGTGGTGGACACCGGAGGTGAGGGAAGCCGTCAAGCTGAAGGAGACTTTCAAGGCCTGGTTGGCCCAGGGGTCTCCTGAAGCAGCTGACAGGTACCGGCAGGCCAGAAGGGCTGCAGCTGCGGTGGTCGCGAATGCTAAAACTCGGGCATGGAAGGAGTTCAGGGAGGCCATGGAGAAGGACTTTCGGTTGGCCTCAAGGAGGTTCTGGCAAACCATCCGACGGCTCAGGAAGGGAAAGCAGGGCTTACCCCAGGCTGTTCTCAGCAGGAGGGGGGGGGAACTGCTAATCCGGACGGAGGACATCGTCGGGCAGTGGAAAGAGCACTTTGAGGAACTCCTACACCCGACCAACATGTTCTCTGCAGAGGAGGCAGCGCCTGAAGATATAGGGGGAGGCTCACCCATATCCCTGGCAGAGGCCGCTGAGGTAGTCAAAAAGCTCCTCGGTGGCAAGGCGCCGGGGGTGGATGAGATCCGCCCTGAGATGCTGAAGGCGCTGGACATAGTTGGGCTGTCCTGGCTGACACGCCTCTTCAATGTGGCATGGGGGTCGGGATCAGTGCCCATGGACTGGCAGACTGGGGTGGTGGTTCCCATTTTCAAAAAGGGGGACCAGAGAGTGTGCTCGAATTACCGGGGTATCACACTACTCAGCTTCCCAGGGAAGGCTTATGCCAGGGTGCTGGAAAGGAGGCTCCGACCGTTTGTCGAACCTCAGATTCAAGAGGAGCAATGCGGATTCCGTCCCGGCCGTGGAACAGTGGACCAGCTCTTTACCCTCGCAAGACTACTGGAGGGGTTCTGGGAGTTTGCCCAACCAGTCTACATGTGCTTTGTGGACTTGGAGAAGGCTTTCGACCGGGTCCCTCGGGGGTTCTTGTGGGGGGTGCTGCGGGAGTATGGGGTGCCGGACCCATTACAACGGGCGATCCGTCTCTGTACAACTGCAGTAGGAGCTGTGTCCGCATTCTCGGCAATAAGTCAGACACGTTCCCGGTGGGTGTTGGCCTCCGCCAGGGCTGCCCTTTGTCTCCGGTCCTGTTCGTGACTTTCATGGACAGGATATCTAGGCGCAGCCGGGGGGTGGAGAACGTCAGGTCCGGGGGTCTCGGGATTGCCTCTCTGCTGTTTGCAGATGATGTGGTCCTGTTAGCCTCCTCGGATCGTGACCTCCAGCATTCACTGGGGCGGTTTGCAGCCGAGTGTGAAGCGGCGGGGATGAGAGTTAGCACCTCCAAATTTGAGGCCATGGTGCTCTGCCGGAAACCGGTGGATTGCTCCCTCCAGGTGGGGACGGAGTGCCTACCTCAAGCGAAGGAGTTCAAGTATCTCGGGGTCTTGTTCACGAGTGAGGGTAAGATGGAGCGGGAGATCGACAGACGGATCGGTAAAGCAGGAAAATGGATGGATGGATGGATGGATAGTTACAGCCCCCCCCCATTTTCATTTCCTTTTATTTCTCTTCCTTTCTCTCCAGCTCTTTTTTATTTGACATTATTTTGGGAAATAGTGTAAAAGAAATGCAGCAGTTTCCTAGTCAGCATAAATGTCAAGATTTTTGAGCAAATGAAATCAATAAAAGTATTTGAACAACAAAGTAACATGTGTGAATGTGAGCAGTACATGATGGTACTCGGCTGTGAGCCTGTGTGCTGTATATTCTCTTTGTACAAATAAATACATTTCAGATCTTGAATGGCAAAAAGAAAAGACTGGATACCAGACATTTAGATTACATTTCATAAAGCTGTGCAGACGTCTTTGCTGCACCCACAATTTGCTCTATGGCTCCATGTTTTCATTACCAATTATAATGTCTCTTTTTTTTTTTATTGCATTGCTTATCAGATGCAATATGTTTTACCATCTTTAGCACCCAATTTTACGAGTTACATAAACAGAAATACATAGACTTGATTGAGCCCTGTAGGAGTATTTCCTGTTTGACTTGTGTGGATGTACCTCCACTGAATCAATGATTTGCTTAAGAGCACTTCAGCAGGACGAATCCAGAGGCAGGTGCTCAGTATAAACTCACCGGAACTGGTGTGCCAGCCTCTGTCGGAGGGTGGTGGAGTTTTCTTTGTGGGTGAGAAGCTGCGCCCTGATGAAGGCTTCATCGTAGACTGGGCGCTCTATCCTGTACGTCATCTGTGAGTCGGCCTCTTCTCCAGCTGCGGCTTCTTCCTGCTCCATTACTGAGGATCCGTCTCTCCGGTGTCATTCATCATCTGTCTGTCTCCACTTGCTGTCTGCTAAGAAGCAAAAGAAAAGATGTGATCATTGTTCCAACACAAACTGGTTTGCCTTTAGGTTCACTAATTTAACCACCAAGGCACGTGCGTTTGTGCATCGTTGTGCTGATAAGAGAGGCTTCGGTTGGATCTGCTAGGCTGCACCTTTGAGTAAATGGTTTAACAGATTTCTAGCAAATATCTGTTTTGTGATGCCAGTTTACAGTACGATCCGGTGGGTGGAGAACATTTCTCTCCAAAGTCCCGGTGAGCAAGTTTAACTTGTTTTGAATTAACTGTTTACTTTCGAGTGCGTGAGGCAGACGTGTCATAGGAGTGGACTTTCAGGACCCACGTCGAATGAACAAGAAATAAACATGTTGATCGCCTCTCCTCTCTCTTTCATATAGTTTCTACGATTTCTTTTGAAAAGAATATAAATGGTACAGTTTGCTGGAAAATCGACTACTCGTTCGTGAGGCTGTGGTTAAGATAACGAGGACCAGAGTGAATGACAGAGTTGGTGGTAGGTGTCGATGCCTGTTCAAAATACTTGCGTCAATAAATCCTTTAAGAAACGCTGTGTTGTCTGTCTTATATTTGTATCATATATATCGTTATTAATCTGATGTGGAGTCGATCTGAGATCTGTCTATGCATCCATACAGCCTGTGAGTTAAACATATGAGCTCAAACACAGCTGACACATGAATGTCAGCTGTGGGAAGCTGTGATCCACACAGATTAACTTGTGATTCAACTTCTGTAGGCTATCTCACATCGCTTATGTTTTATATGAAAGACTACGGACATGCATCTTATGTTAACGATAGTCTACACTGTGCAGCTCACATTCATCCACATTAGACATGACTGTAACTCTCGTCTTGTTACTAGAGGGACCGAAAGTGAATAACTACACGCAGGGGTTAGTGTGTCTGTTGAAACATTACGATGGAGAGGCTTGTTGGAGCATTCATTTAGGATTTCGACAGCATTACCACGACCAATTATCCAACTTCATTACGAAAATAAGATTTGTTGTCTGGTGACATAAAAATAGTAGAAATATGTACCTTACTGGAGTGGAACCGCTGATCATGACCAACGCATGAACTTAAAATGACCAGTTAAACTCACACGTCCTCATCCACATCTATGGAGTAAAGTCTGTGGTTTATGTAGAAAGAGTGCAGTTGGACTCGGATGTTGACTGCTGCCCAGAGTGAATGACTGTTTTAGTTACAAGAGGAATGGATGACGACAATGTTTTCTTAGGTTGTGCAAGTCTGTCAGATTTGATGTAATACGTGTTGTATGTGGTTTTACCATGTAAAATAAATATATATATATATATATATACTGTATATTTGTAATGTGGGGCCTGTTTCAGTGAGCAGGTTTAGTGAGTTACTTAACCCTGACATGAGTGAAACTCTGGGTTTTCAGTTCCAGAAAGAGAGGTAACTTAAACTCTTTTTTTAGTGTTTCCCGATTCAATCTCTGACTCACAAACGTTGAGAGCCTCGCGCTTCTTCCCTTTTCCGTCACGTTAGCTAGCTAACACGATGATGATGGACAAACGGTGACTTCATATTTTTGAAATGTGAGAAAACAAGAAAAAAAAATGAACAGCAGTGTTCGGGTTACAGGTATTAGCCAGTGTCCAACTGTACTATCCTTGCTGTGACAGGAGAGTTTTTTGATTTTGGGGGTTTTCCACAGTTCAGCATTTAAGCTAACATAAAGATGCTAGTAAAGACGGGACTCGTACCTCCGTACTCCAGCTCCTGTGGGGATAATGCTGGCTGACGGAGAATATGAAGTTACAGTTTAACTGGCTTCTGGAGTTGGTTGAAGTTTAACTAGAGCAATGTCCTTCGAGGAGGGCAGCAGTCGGAGGCAACCTGTAATGATACACAGATAGGCTATGCTGAAAGGATGAGTTACTCTGCACTGAATTTTCTTTTCGTCTTCCGGTCTGCAAATATGAGCGTTGATCCTAACGCATGCGCTCTTCTCTTGCATTTAGGCCAGTTTGTAGTCCTAAAAGCCGTGGGCCGTATGCTTTCCTTCCCAGATTACCAATGCTTTGATGTCACATGACTTTCAGTTTAACATATGTGTTTGTTTGTTATTTAGCTGGGAATTTGGCAGTTATTAGCTTTCGGGTCATAATCATATGGAAGATGTATGTTAAAGTTAAGTCAAAATGTATGGTTGTTGAGCAAGTGTCAGCATATCATAAGTTAATTTTCTTTGTTCATCAAAAAATCTATTTTCAAAATGTTCCCCTGATAACCCCCTTATTTTCAAAAGGACATGAACTTTCATGTTAAATTAATTTTCGGCGTCTGTTCAATTACAATTTCTTACATAGGCAAAGCGTTTTTAAAACTGATGGATTGGGAAGAAAAAAATGGCACAAATGTTGACACCCAGCTCTTGTCCTTTATTTATTTTATTCAGTTATGTTGGAGCATAATGAAAGGCAATGTAATACATTCCATTCCATTATCCAAACCGCTTATCCTATTCAGGGTCGCGGGGCGCTGGAGCCGATCCCAGCTGACATTGGGCGAAGGCGTTCACCCTGGACAGGTCGCCAGTTTATCGCAGGGCACATTTAAATTAATAATAATAATAATAATAATAATAATAATAATAAGGACTTGTGGACTAGGATCGGGAACAGAAAAACATGGTTAGGTCATAACTACCTTTTACTAAACCACTTGACTGTCAAAACAGTGACCATTTGGGGTTATCTGGCCCTCTTAGGCTCTCGTACTTAATAGGGCCGATAATGAAAGCTAAGTCTGATTACATTGAACTCAAAAGTAGTCCGAGTGAGAGGTCTCCGTCTCTTGTGGATCTCTGTCTGTTTGGGGGCAGGGAGCTGGATGATGAAAGCAGGACCACCGGGTCATGTCCTGACGTGTGGTCACGGGGCTCCCTTATGAAGGTCATATTATGAAGGTATATTTGTGTCTTTATAACGCAAACAAAAATGAGACGGCCTATGCAACAGAGGACTTCCTGTTTGCGTCACCAGCTGCCCCCCCCCCCCCCCCTCCTTTGCTGCTCCCGTGCCTAGAATGCCTACCCAGAAGGATTATACTGTATATACAGACATATATACTGTAAAGGTTTTAGTTTTAATCAGTTTTTCAATCATGTATTCAATAATTCATTCATAGTTCTTTTTCATAATATAGTTTTTCTAAATTAATAATCAGTTAATAATTCAATCAGTTGCTATGTTAAATAATTCATTTTCAATAATTTATCCTTCTTGTAAATAAAATAATGTATTTATCAATAACTTTTTTATTTCATTCACACATATACATATATACATATACACATATATATATGTATATATATATACATATATACATATATATACATATATATATACATATATATATATACATATATATACATACATATACGTATATATACATATATATATACATGTATATATATACATATATATACATACATATACGTATATATACATATATATATACATGTATATATATACATATATACATATATATATACATTATATATATATGTACATATATATATACATATATATACATATATATACATACATATATATATACATATATATACATATATATACATAAATACATATATATACATATATACATATATACATATATATATATACACATATATATATATATCCATATATATATATATATTCATAAATGTATGTACACATTTATATATACATTTATATTTATTTATTTCTCAATTAATCTTTCTAGAGAGAACAGAGCCTGGATACTTGCAATCCTAAGGCAGAGGACAGTTAAAAAAAAACAACAGCAGCAAAACAAATGTCAGCAAACATGTTTATTAACTTGCAGTAACACATATGCACATACCTTTTTAATTTGCAGCCAAAAATTCTAGTTTCATAAGGAAAACTAACAAATAATTTATTCTCAGTTTATATATTTTTACTTACAAACTTGATTTTTGATTGCAGTGCGAGAAATTTGCTCTCAAAACATTTATTTTTGTTTGTGTAATAAAGACACAAATATACCTTCATACTCCCTCATCTGTTTTTTTTCTCACGTAGTCTAAAATGAAAGAAAAAAAAGTTTCCTGGCAGGGAATGAATAACAACACAGTAAGGGTTCAGCCCCCCCCCCCCCTTTATCATCCACCTCCCTCTGACAAAGACTTGGTTTCCCAAAACTTGATGATAATAAGAGAACATTTCGCACTACTTGTACCTCATTTATTATTGTATTGTTTTATATTAGACATCCGCTTGGACAGTTTGGTGATAAAACATAGTAATTATTCACAAGTGTCCCCACATAAAACACCTAGAGAAATCCTTGATCAGATAGATATAAACGTTATTCATCCCCAGATGGAAATTAGTTTATAGCAGCAGCAAGTTACAGAGTAAAATAAAATACATTGGTCCTTGTGTGATGTTCCATTAAAGAGAAAGCTCACCCCAAAATAATAAATACATATTTACATATATTTTATTGAAGATAATCCACAGAATTTGTGAGCATAGTCCCATTTTATTCAGGACAAGGCAGACATTTCTACAGCACATGTATCCAACACTAGGCAACTCACACCAAAAGGAAAAATATGTCTTTTTGATTTTGGGGTGAACTGTCACTTTAAAGAAATGTTTAGCCACACAATATTACTGCCAACCAGCAAAATATCACATTCACAATTAAAAAGTATAAAAAACTGCAGATAACGTGGTGTAATATGCTGTTCATAGACTTTATGGTATTTAATGTTAAATTTGCTTCATGAATTGAGGTAATACACTGAGAATCTGTCTTTCTGTATTAGCACTTTGTGTCCACAAGGGAGCAATAACAGTCAAAGAGTGAACAAACTTTAGCTTGCTTGAGGAGATAATAGAGGTTTTAATCATAATACAACTATTGCATGCTTTTAGCTGTAGTAACACAAACAATGAGGAAATACAAGATTACTGATATTATATATCAGTTTGATATATAATATGAAAGAATTCTGAAAGTATCAAAAGTTAATGTACTCATAATGTAGAAAAATGGGCCAATTAACTATTTATCATGTATGGCATTGTTTAAACTGATAAAATGTCTAAGTAGAATTTATATGAAGCAGCTCAAGGGGCCGCCTGTTTTAAATACTTTATTTAATGTAACAGTTAGTTAGCTAACTGTTAGTTAGAGGGACACATTTGTATTTTTCTTTAGCTTTCATTTTTGTGACATTTTGTTTACTTGAATAAATGCTCTTAGTTACTTTCCACCTTTGCTGAAGACTGCTGGAGTAAAAAATAAACTGCTACTTCAACTGCTTTTATCTTGGTCGAAAGGTCAAAAGGGAATGAGAGCAGTCAGTTTGCTAGATGGTGCCAATGACCTCAGTGATAACCCTACAGTACAACAGTGTTGTGCTAAAACTTTGCTTCCATCACAAATAAAGAAGCTTCTGCTGTGTATTTCACATCGCCGTCTCCTGCTCAGAGCCCAACAGATATAAAGCTCTTTCAAACTCACGGCCATTTAGGACCGGCTTGAAGCGGGACTTCCCCGGGTCTCTCTTAACTATAGAAACGGATGTTAGTATATATGTGTGTGCAAAGAGTTGAATCAGTCGTGTGCCGTGCTGGAAGTCCTTCAACTTACCACAGGGGCTGGGAGATCTCCCCGTAGAGGAGACCCCTTCTCTCTGGGTTCCCAGAAGAGACGTAGAAAAAGAGTCATCTAAAAAAGTAAAATTTTTACTTGTTTATTTCGTCCAATTCAAAGTATATTTATTTAGGTTCAACTACAGACAAAAAATTATCAACAAAAAGATTAAAAGAAAAATGGAAAAAGATTTGAAAAACCCTGAACTCAGTGAGCAAGACATTTTTAATTTTTAACTCCACACAGGTAAAGACCTGGTGGACTTCTCCCCAACTACTGCCCCGATTGTCTAAAACCGAGAATATTTATACTCTAGAAACACCAGGGGAAAGGTTCAACCCCCCCTCGGTGCCTTCGTGGGGCATGACAACCCCTTTAAATTTAGTCATATATTGATGGACATATCGTTATCTAACACAACGACCTCTACTGGTACTCAGGATGTATGACACACCGTGCTCACTGGTTGATAATAATACTCAGACCCATATACTTGATCATATGTTTTCAACAGGTTACAGGGAGACATGATAATACATCAAAAATAAAAGATACACAACATAACACACCATTTTGCCCAGCGTAAGATGAATGACAGAGTATTCTCATGTACCCTTCTGCATAAATTGCGCCCATGTCCTTAAACCTTCTGGTACCTAGCCCTATTTTTAGCCCTCTGCTCGAAAATTGCATACCCATACTCAAGAGAGTCTCCAGCTCTAACTACAAGGTCTATTTTAATAATTTTTATGCTAGAATACTGGAAACACTTGTGAGATGTGTTGAATTGTGTAAATATTGTGTATATGTTACTGGTTAATAACTGATACACTTATGGCACAGCTCAAATTGAAAAAGTTCTAAGTTCGCCTGAAAAAAAGCACTTGTATTGAACATTTTTTTTTGAAAATAATGCAGCTGTAAGCCTAAAACTACGCCACAGACATAGAACAACACGTTTTACATGTCCCCACAACATATTTTACTTCGATTGAGTGAAGCAGGCCAGCATAAATGGTCATAAAAATCAGAATTTTGATTTTCGGAACCAGCTGTTGCATTGCTGTATACTAATTGTATATACTATATAACTAAATATTAACTATATATATTCACTTTTCTTATCACTAAGAGTGTTCAATAATCCTAATAAATCAGTTTGACACCATTTTGAATAATTTTGAGCAGTTATGATGTGTCATATCTGTCATTCATAACAATAAATGGCTCATA